GGTCTCCACATGGGATCCGAACCCTCGGCGGGAGCGCCGCCATGCTCCCAAGCGGCACACTCTCCAGTGTGCCACCGGGCCGGCCCCAGATTTAGTTTTTAATTGAGCACTGGGAAAAGTGGTTTAGACTCCTGGGAAAATACATTTTATTCATCCTCAATGCAAATTCAATATTTAAACTTATTCAGTGTAAGTATAACCAGGTTTTTCAGATTGGTGTAGTGACATTTGTAAGACTAAGACTAAGCCACTTATGGCCAAATGTTGTAGGGCTTTTGCTTACTTTCCATGAGGGATTGGTCTTGTGTGGGGCAGGGTCTGTGTGTGCTCCTGTAGTTATGTACAAGTAATGTGGTATCTTTTCTAATGCCATAGGCAAGTAACACCTGTGGTTGTTAAAATAGATTGTCTTGAAGTGTGAATAATATGGAATATCCTACTGCATCATTATCCATAAACTCAAAAATTCAGTGTCACTGTCTACATACAACCCACTTTTATCTCTTCTTTGCAGGATCAATGTATGTGTTGGCCAAAAAATTATAGCCCTCCCCCATGACAACCGACAAGTGAGATTGTTTGATATGTCAGGAGTGCGGCTAGCACGGCTTCCCCGGAGCAGTCGGCAGGTAATAAATACATGAGAGGGGGGCTCGAAATTCCCCATCTTAAGTCATCGTTGCCTAACAGAAAGATAGTGTGAGCCATGTAGGTAATTTGACACTTTAAATATAAAAAGAAATGAGAAATTAAATACTTTGACCAAATATTTGAAATAATATAATTTCAACATGTAATAAATATAAAAATATTAGAGATATTTTATGTTCTTATTTTCTTACTAAGTCTTTGAATCATAAATTTTCACTGGAAATATTTGTTCTGTATTTAGAGTTTATAAAATTTAAAGTTGAAAAAGTAGAGTCACATACTCAAGTTGTTCCAAACCCATGTCAGTGTTTCCCTGATTACCCTGAGTATCAGTTTTTAAGTTTAAAATTAAGTAAACTTGAACATGCAGTTCTCAGTCTCACTAGCCATGTTGACAAGCTCATTAGCACATGGGTTGGTGGCTGCTGCATTAGGAAGCACAGTCTTAGATATTTGCAGTTGAGTTTACAGATAGGACACATCTGAAATGACAAGCAGTTACAGCAGTCAGGCAGGGTGGTGGGAGCTCTCCAAGGTGGTGTCCCCACCTCCACCCAACCAGAGAAACACCTTTCTGTGGCAGGCTGTCACAACAAGAAGAAATTCCATTTTAAATGCTATTTTCTTATAAATTAAGGGATTGCTCCTTACTAACCTCAGCAGATGTGGTGTGGGGAGTTTGATGGGTGTTTCTTAGTGTGTGGTGTTCAGGCCACACCACTGTGGTTGTCTGGACTATGTGTCAGGTCAGACCATTAGAATCAGAGTGTGCAGAGGGCATGCCCAGGAGCCTGTGTCTAGTGTAGTGCCTTGGGTGATTCTCCATGTGATGGACTCTGGAGTTAGGGCCAGAGCCTTAATGTGGTCAGGTGATGGAGGTAGCCGTGGTAAGTAAAACCTCCTCCACTTGTCGAGGCAGCATTTCTTCAGGTTTTTGTGTTCAACAACACAATCTCCAGAACGTAATCGCTCTCTCTCGTTTTCTTTTGATCTTTTTGGAGTATCATCTTGATGGCTGTGTGATAAATAAGCCAGTTTGTTGTGTTCTTTTTAAATCGATTTGTTCCCTGGCCTTCCGTGTGCGTGTGTCCACATGTGTACAATCCTGTGTGTCCCTGACCCTCAGGCACTGCTTCCTGCTGCTCCTCTGCTGTTTGCTTGTTGTTGAGACCAGGCTTATGTCATGGTGTAAAGCCTCAGGCTTTACAAGTCAGCTCTGCACTGGACGTGCACTTCAGAAACTGCAGACCAAGGATAGTAAAGGGAGATAGATTGTAAAGTGGGGATTTGCTATCAACAGAGCAGTACCTTTTCTTTAAGTGGCATGAACTTCCCAGAAACTCTGTTCTTAAGACCAAGGGTGTTTCGGCCATTCTTCTCTTTTATGGCTCATAAGTGTGCTGTTTGAAGTTAATTATTGATCTTTTTATTCTTTGAGTGCACATCATAGAAAAATTACTCATGAGGAGGGTAGCCCCCTCTGCCTGGAAGTGGGCAGGAAGCAGAGCATGCTCAGGTTCCTGGGCAGGAGCCAAGGGAAGCACCCTCTTCCTAGAAGCAAGGGGGGAGTAGAGCACACCTGGGGTCCTGGGCAGGAGCTGAGGGCAGCCCCCTCCGCACAGAAGCGGGCAAGAAACAGAGTACACCCGGGATCGTAGGCTGGAGCCAAGTGCAGCCCCCTCTGCCTGGAAGTGGGCAATAAACAGAGCATGCCTGGGGTCCTAGGCAGGAGCCAAGGGCAACATCACCCTCCTGGAATCAGGCAAGGAGCACACCAGAAACACCACTTCTATGCAAGTGGCCCACCACAGCCACTGCCACAGCCATGGCTGCTGTAAAAGCGGCTCAATACCCGAGCAGTAGGCACAGCCATCATGCAGGTGGTCCGCCAGGCATTTGACAGCATCAACACAAGGAAAGTCACCAGCAGAGACCAGAAAAAGAGGATGTCTCTCTCCTCAGTGCTCACTCCAGAGTAATAGAAGAAGCAACTGCTCTATCAGATGGGCAGACATCAATGTGGAGATACTAGAAATATGAAAACCCAACAAAATATGGCACCACTGAAAGAATACAGTAATTCTCAATACCAACCAGACCTTATAGAACAGGAAAGCCATGGAATGACCGAAATGGAATTCTGAGCAACAATCTCGAGGAAACTTACTGAGATATGAGAAGATTCAGTTAGACAACATCATGAAACAAGAAAGAAAAAATCTAGGATGTGAAGTAGGAAATTTACAAAGAGATTAATACCTTACAAAAGAATGTAGCAGAACTCATGGAACTGAAAGATTCACTAAGTGAAATAAAAAACACAACCAATAGCTTAAGCAGCAAGCTAGAACAAGCAGAAGAAAGTATTTCTGCTCTTGAAGATAGTGTTTTTGGAATAACCGAGGCAGACAAAAAAAAAGGAAAAAAGAATTTTAAAAAAATGAAGAAGATCTAAGAGAGCTAGCAGACAACCTTAAGCACACAAACATTCAAATCATGGGTGTTCCAGGAGGGGAGGAAAAAGGAAAAGACATTGAAAACATATTTAATGAAATAATAATGGAAAACATCCAACGTATAGGGAGATACACAGACCTTCAGCTCCAGAAGGCTCAAAGATCCCCAAACAGATTCAAACCAAAAAGATCCTTTCCAAGACACATTATAGTCAAACTGGCAAAGCTCAAAGACAAAGAGAATCCTAAATGAAGCAAGAAAGAAGCATCAAGTCACCTATAAGGGAGCTCCAATCAGACTAACATCAGACTTTTCAACAGAAACTCTACAGGCCAGAAGAAAATGGGATGATTATCCAAAATACTAAAAGAAGAAACCTGCCAGCCAAGATATTATACCCAGCAAGACTAACCTTCAGAAATCGGGGGAAAATAGTGTATTTTCCAGACAAACAAAAACTACAAGAGGTTACTACCACAGGACCAGCCCTACAAGAAATCCTCAAGGAAGTCCTGCATCTGGAATCCAAAAAACAGTAATCACTACCATGAATACACAGGAAAGAGAAAGAACAAAACCCACTGGTAGAACAAAAATGCAAATGAGAGAGAGACCAAATCTTAATACCACAAAAAACTGTAATGACAATGTAATAATGCTCCTGCTTTATTTCTAATTTTAGTAATTTTGGTCTTCTCTCTTTTTTTCCTTGGTCAGTTTAGATAAAGGTTTGCAAATTTTGTTCATGTTTTTAAAGTAAAGCTTTTAGTTTTGTTGATTTACTCTATTTTTTTTTTTTTTTCCTTTTTGTCTTTTTTCGTGACCGGCAACGGATCGCAACCCT